GGCGCTGGGACCTCAACCTGCGGGAGTTTAACATCAGCAAGCATGTTGAGAGAAAATTGCTAACCGGTGGTGCAATCACGGGCACCTCTTGTGGGGCGTCATGGTGTAGAACATCCTGGACCTGGTTCCACTTTGTGATGTTGTTCGCGGTCTAAAAGAGGGTTGTGTCAACTTACACGCCAAGGGGCATACAGCGCGTTCTTAGACAAACCTTCTTACTCGCGATCAGAGGCGCGACTTTCTTAGCAGCGGCAACTACAGCAGCCGATATCTGTTAGCCAACCCGCACGCGTATTTGTCTCCCAACGGCCTGACAAACCCTTCGGATCTTCGGTCGTGGTCGTCTCGTTTGTAGCAGCGTCATCCTCTCCCTCCGCTCCATCATCCATGGAGAATGCCTGGCTGAGTGGGGCAGGCTTCTTGGAGGGGCCAGCCTGTCCAGGCTTGCCCATCGAGAAGCCACCTTTAAATGCCAAGGTGACAGGCTTGTCGGAAACGGGCAGCGCCGACGCTGCGACTTTCGTTCCCTGAGCGCTGACTTCTGTGGCGGAGGTGAGGAAGACTTCCAGAGAATGCGAGAGGATGTACGTACCTTTCTTCTTCTTTTCCTTCTTCTCTTTGGGTGCAGGTATGGCTTCTGTGGGCTTCACGGGCTCTTCTACCGTGAACTCGAGAATGGCCGCTGTGGACCCTTCATCCCAGTACCTGACCCATGCACCCTCGGTGCCACCCAGACTAGGGGTAGACGTTAAGCACGCATCATCCCGTAATGTATAATCAGGGAGGGGCTGGAAGGAGTACGGGTGCGCGAAGGAAGCTGCGACCGGCCGGTCAGAGATACGGAAGCCATTCGGATGCAGCTGAGGCGACATCGTCGCTGCGAGAACTGCGGACGCAGCCTACAGGAGTTCGTCAGCAACAACCTTGGGAACAAGGGCTCAAGACTTGCCTGCACGTCGATGAACTCAACAAATGCGAACCCCCAGCTCGCGGTCGTGTTCTTGTCTTTGATGAGGATGATCCGCCGCATTCCCTTGGCGCCCTCCTTGCTGGGCCCTGAAGAGGTCTTCATGGCCTGGGCGATAGCCTGAGGACCGGACAGCGGGTCAAGACCTCGGAAGAGCAAAACGGGTGCCTGCGTGTTGCCAATGTCACGGGTACCATCATTCGTCTGGAATGGGCCCTTCGCTCGTCGCTCCCCGGGAGCGGCGCTCTGCGAGTAATCAATCTTGACACGACGGCCGCCGGCAGGGGTGGGATTACCGGCCTCGATGGCTCGGTAAAAGGCGGCGGTGGCGGTTGCGCCGTGGGATGCGGGCGGCGGGATCTGGATGAAAGGGAAGAGCGGGTCGACGAAGGCGCGGGCGTGCTCGGTGCTTGTGAATTGGGCGAAGCCGAAGCCTTTGGAGACACCTGTTGGATGTGCGGCGGCGGCGGCGGGCGGAGGCCATGCGGAGAAAGAACACGTCAATGCGCTGTTGCATGCAAATGAAGTACGAAGGGGCAAGTGCCTGTAGATCTGTCTCGGATTATGGTGACCGACTCGATGCTGCAGCTGTTGCTGGTCAGGTATGCTTGCATCTGCAGAGCCATGGAAAGATGAGCGGAAGGAGATATTTCGTCGTATGTCACTACGTACATCTGACTCCGTAAAGTCAGGGTCAAGCCCAAGGAAGATAACGTGAGGGCTGGGCTCGCTGGGAACGAGTCGTTTCTTGTTGTATGGACCAGTTTTGGAGTGACGGTCGTCCTGGTTGTAGCCCTGGTCGTAGGACTGGCGGTTGTCGTATCCAGAGTTGTCGTAGCCTTGAGACGCATCATATCCCTGTGTATGTATGGTAAGGGCGCCACCCCATACGGAGACGAAGGATGCTGCGTACGCCGTCGTTGTACTTCCTGCGTTTGCTATCGCCGTAGTAGTCCTCTTCACGCATGTGCGTATTCGCCCTGGGTTGCCAGGACTCGTAGTCGGCCTGCTTTCCTTGGTCCCACTCTCTGTTGTAGGCCATGGCAGGAGTGTGGGTGAGTAATCGGAGATAGGACTGGGAGGGAGGAGATGGTGGTTTGAGGAAGAGAGATGGGCGCCTGTTCGAGCCCACGACTCTCTGATCACCCTCCACCATGGCCGGACACGGTATGCATGCTTTCTCTTTCAGACTTTGCTGCGGCTCACGAAATATCTGTGTGTAGGGTATACGAAGGTACATGACATGCCTGTGTGATTCAGAACGTATACTCACCAGCGGAGCGTGTCGTAGACCGACCCCGCCGTCGAGCGATGGAACAACATGGTACGCCCTCCCCTTTCTTGCTGCTCCCCATCGTCCTCAGCAGTGTGAGTGCAGCGCGAGGCGGTGTACAAGAACTTCCGGTTCAACTCGCGGACAGCAAGACAGTCCATTCTAGGCATGGTCGTCTTCCCCGCCACCATCTTCGCCATTGCATATCACCAAGACGTAGGTTGCACTCGACAGTTGCTGGTTTATGTGCTCACGTTGCTGCAGATGAAGTGGGACTGGAGGGGCAAGCGCAAGGGCGAGCTCATTGCCCGCAACCCGCCTGCACACGAGGCATCCGACTGAGTATTGGATGGCATTATCCGTGTCTACGCGTGCTATGGTATACTGTATCAACCCTTCTACAAGTGTGCATGGTCCGTGGCTTAGAATCTCTTGCATAACTCGATGGCAACCTTGCAACCCGCCCCGACTACTGTGCTCAGAAGAGCGTGCGCTGGGGCTTTCTGCGAATCGTTCTCTACGGCGATATCTAGGTGCTCGAGTTCGTCGTCCCGGAACTCCCGGATCACTTCCTTTAGTAGTGGAACACTGGGGTGGTCACCGGGGAGTTGCTCGAAAGCTTTGAGTTGGCTGCGAGGTAGTGAGCACCCCATCTGGTCGTGAACACGCCGGAGAACACATACTCGTCGTAATGTTCGCCAATGACGGTCTCTACCGCTTCAGTGCAGGCCATCGCGGCCTCCCTGCCCATGAGAGCGGTGACAGCTCCAAGCCCGTACCCTCCTATGCGGGCTACCTCCCAGAGAAGTGTTGGCCGTACTCGGTGCTGTATTTGCAGCTTGTTCATGACACAAAGATGCTTCTTCTCCTGATCCCACATATCCTGAATGAAAATGTGAGGATGTATGTACAGGATCTGCAAACGATGTGCTACTCGCCTGTATGAGTGGGCCGGTGGCTGGATCCCTCCCAAGGACGTCATGCTGACCCTTGTATATCCAGTTCGCAGCAAGCTCTCCTGCTTGGTCTACTCTGAGTGCGCTCTCCAGTTCTATTCGTACTTCATGTGGAATGTTCTCTGGTGTGGTGTGAATGGAAGGGTGCTGAGACAGTGCGGGATCGGTGTAGGCGTGCGAGGGGACGGGACGGGCGGTTGTGGAGAGAGTGCGCACAGCCGCAGCAGAGACCGGTCGCAGCGAAGACTGGCGGGCGAGAGCGAGCATGGCGACACCAGACAGCTATTAACAAGATAATAAGATAGACGGACGGCGATGGAGGAGGAGTGCTCGTTGTGTCGGATGCCCTCAGGGCTTTCGGAGACGGCGAGCAACGGATCGCTTCCGGGTCAGGTACATGCCCATTACGTAAGGATATTGGGCGTCTGTTCAGCGAGTGACAACCACGCGACGCGTCGGGCGCGTCCAACTCAAGTTCGCCTCTGTCCACCATCTGCCTCCGTCTGTACATCCTTTTCCCAGCCATGAGTGCCCCTTCTCAAACGTATGCCGCTCCCCGTGCTGCATGTCGCGTCCTGTACTCACTCATGTGTGCAGTTTCACTCCTTCCGACCTTGTGGACATGTCCAAGGAACGCGACTGGCCCGCGAGCCTTGGTACCTACTTGCCTTCGTCTGTACTATGTTGCACGTTGCTCATCTCGTCTGCGCAGGCGTGCTGGACTGGGACAACACCAGCATTGTCTTTACCAAACGTTCCCTCCTCGAGTTCCTCAAGTAGGTGGCGCTTGCTCGCTTCACAAAGGCCCGCTAAGCAGTGGCTTCCCCGCAGGTACGCTGGGATCACCGTCGACCCGAACTTCACCAACATCCAGAAGCTGCCGCGTGCGTTACCCCATATGCTCTTTGTGGCGCGCGTAGTGCTGAATGCAGAGTGACGCGTGTAGGCTACGTCCAATTCGGCAAGATCTCTGGTGAGGGCAGCGCGAGTGCTGGAGAGTCCTCCGCTGGTTCGGAGGCTACTCCTACTGCTGCTGCCGGTGCGTTCCTTTGCACTGTCACGAGTGGCGGCGTGGCTCAAAAATATGCCAGCTTCCGCAGCACAGGCCACGAGTGACTTCAAGCCCACACGGCGCGTGAGGGACCCTCCTGGTGGCCGTCAGCACAACATCTTCGGCGACAGTGCGGACGACGACGCGCTTGCGGGCGCACCGCCCAAGCCCGGTGCTGCTGTGAGTTATTACGCGTCCATGCGTATTTCTGGCTCGCTAAACCCTTGCTTCAGGTTGAAGCGGAGACCCCCGACGCTCAGAGCGATGCCGACGGCGCGAAGTAAGTTTCCGGCCAGGGCTTCACATCTGTTCGCCGCGAGCGTTCTAACCTTCCTTCCCCTACTCAGGAACAGGCGCGCTACGAGCGTTGCTGGTTTGTGGGACGCCCGCGAGCCTGACAATGGGTTCAAGCCTACTCGTCGGTGCGTGACTTGTTATGCACGTCGGGAAATTGCGATACTAATGCGTGTATGTAGTGTCCGCGAACGCCCTGGAGGCAAGGACAGCATCTCTGGTGTAAGTAGTGTCTATTCATCACGACCTTCTGATGCTCAATGCATCTTGTCAAACAGCTCTTTGGTTGATTGCTCGCATCTGGCTGTCAGTGGAGGTTTGCGTCGAGGAAAGGGCGGAAGCTCTGTTGGTATCTGTCCGGGGTCTCAATGTAACATATAGTGCTGCTTTTCGCAAAATGGTATTGACTAGAGCTGTCGCGCGTTGTCCGATGTCTGACATACGACGAATAAAAGGAAATGGTGGCGGCGAGGTTCGAACTCGCGCGGGATTGCTCCCATCGGGAATCAAGAAAGCTTAAATCCGACGCCTTAGACCAACTCGGCCACGCCACCCTAACAAATCCTAGTGCCCCTTGCCCTCACATACCGGTTAGACGGTGCCTGACCATCTCCAACCTCCACTCACTCGACGAGTCACAATTTATGCAATAATTTTCCAACGAGGTCTAGATATCTATCTATACACCGAGCTGCCGACAACGGCCACGCAAAAGGATACAACGTGCGGGATATTACAGGCAGGTATACGCTAGGCGGATAATGTACATTTTTCCAATTAGTGTCATACGGCAGACGACGACCCCTGCAAACACCACTCCAATATTGAGCGTGCTACTCCCCTCCGAAACTCCACACACGAACGTCGCCGTCGTCGCTCCCGGACACGATCTTGTCCTCGCCGAGCGCCAGACAGGTCACGGCGCCGCGGTGCCCGACGAGCGTCGCCGTGCAGTTGCCCTCCTCGCGCGACCACACCTGCGAACACGTTCCGTCAGCATCTCAAGCCCAAACCCAAGCCCAAAAGTATACAGAGGGACATACCTTGATGGTGCGGTCGTGGCTGCCGCTGACGAGGCGCAGCTTGTCGCTCGCGACGGCCCACACGCCCTCGATGTGCCCGAAGAGCGTGCGCTGGACGGTGCCCGTGCCGATGTCCCACAGCTTGATCGTGTTGTCCAGGCTGCCCGAGATCAGCACCGGCTTCAGGCGCTTCGCGGGCGACGCGCGCGCGCCGCGCTCGAGCGGCGGCGCGGTGCTGCGCCGCGTGAGCAGCGGGGAGGAGGAGCTCGTCTGGTACGGGTTTGAGTTCGGGTAGAGGTTGGAGGACGGGTAAGGCGACGCGGACGCGCGCAGGGGCGGGGAGCGCGGCGGGGGCGAGCGCAGGCCGTCGGCGGAGGACGACGCGAGGTCGGGGAGCGAGTCGCCGTCGCCGTCGTCCGCGCGCGACTGGTCGTCGACGAGCAGCAGCTTGAGGCTCTGCACCTGCCCGACGTGGCCCTTGAACTGGCGCACGCACGTGCGCAGGGAGAGGTCCCAGAGGCGGATCGTGCCGTCGTCGGACGCGGAGAAGAGCATCTTGCCCGGGTCGATGTGTGGTGCGGTCGAGCCGCTCTCGATGGCGCGCCGCTGTGCACGCTCGCTGGCGCCGGCGCTGCTGCTGCTGCTGCTGCTGCTGCTGTCGCAGCCGGGCGGCGCGGTGGCGGTCGAGTCCCAGAGCTGGACGGCGTTCACCCAGTCGCAGTGCCCGCGGAGGGTGAAGCACTCGCCGGTGCGGAAGTTCCAGACCTTGACGGTGGTGTCGACGGAGCCGCTCGCGAGCACGTTCGAGTCGAAGTTGAGGCACACGACGCCCTCGGTGTGGCCCTCGAGCGTCTTGACGCACTGGCCCGTGCGCCAGTTCCACACGCGCATCGTGTGGTCCATGCTGCCCGTGATGAGCTTCACCGCGTCGAACTGCAGCGCGCGGATCGCGCGCGTGTGCCCCGCGAGCGTGTGCACCTCGGCGCCGGTCTCGAGGTTCCAGACGCGCGCGGTGCGGTCGTAGGAGCCGGTGATGAGCACGGGGAAGGACGGGTGCGCGAGGGTCTCGGAGAACTGGAGACACATCACGCCGTCGGTGTGGCCCTTGAGCGTGCGCACCGTACATCGCCCGCGCCGCCAATTTCGCTCGATGGTCAGGCGTTCGCAGTAGACGTCCTTCCACGGCCGTGTCTTGAGATCTGCCGCGGGGAGCTCGGAAAGGGGGACGATGAGGGGATTTGAGGGATATGCGGACGAGGGGACAGTGTGCGAGACGGCTTCGGAGGGGGGAGAAGCCGCGCGGGTGCGCTGCTCCAGCCGTACCCTCTTCGCCGGCTGCGAAGCCTCGGAGGGTCCTGGCTCCGGCTCATGTGGCCGCTTCAGCTGTGATGAGGAGCTGGACCCCGGCAGACTTGGCGACGGCGAAGGTGATGCGGATGGGGCGGCAGACGCAGAGACAGATGCAGGGGGGAGGGACGGGGGCACCGCGCGACGGCGCTTCTCGAGAATGGGAAGGCCCCAGCCGCATTTGAGGCACTTCTGGCCGATGTGCTGCTCGCAGATCCCGCGCCAGAGGACGTCGTCGTCGGCGAGGCTCTTCCACTGGCGCGAGACCTGCGCGGCGCGGCAGAGGGAGGTGGCGTCGAGGTAGCCGAGGACCTTGAGCGAGACCTCGCGCGGGAGGACGGCGAAGGGGTCGATGCGGATGAGGTGCGCGAGCTGCTCGGTGAGGAGGGAGAGCTGGGAGAAGCAGCACATGGTGAGCAGGCCCTGGAGGATGAGCGCGCGGCGGGGGTGGGACGAGGAGGAGAAGGAGGACCATATTGCGCTGACGGCTTCGCGCTCGGCGACGGGGAGCGCATCGAGGGCCTATGCGGGGAAGGGCGGTCAGTATGCAGTTATGGTGTGGGCTTTACGTCTAGGGGATGGCGAGACCGCAAGGGACCGCGGTCATCGGGGCGCACCCGGAACGACGCGCGGGCGCGGGGACAGTTCCGGGGCCCACAATCATATCTCTCGCGGTCGTTCCTTGCCCGGACCAGGCGGACGGCTATCGGATAGCCCCCGAGTGCGGACAGACTCACCTGCTGGAGCTTGAGGTTGGTGCCCTCGTCGGCCATGCGCTGATGTCGCACGCAGAGCTTGCGCGCGGGGGGCTGCTGGAGCATATCCGGAGCTTGGCCGGGGCTCGCGCCCGCCGATGAGCCCGTCGGTGCCGTCTGGGACGACGAGGAAGAGGGGTCCGGGGAGGCTTGCGAGGATCCGGGCATGAGAATGGGGGCGTCGAAGGGGGTGACTGAGACGGAGGGCGGAGACTGGGGATGCGGGCTCGAGGCTCGAGAGCAGGACTTGTCGCCGGAGGCGAGACGAGGAGCGGGGAGGGTGTCGCAGACGTAGGCGGCGGCACTGCTGCTGCCGGCCTGGAGCGAGGGCGCCGACATCGTTGGGTGATGGCGGAGCGGGGGAGAGGGACGAGGAAGGATGGCGGGGGCGGGGCGGAGACGTTTTGAGCGAAAGAGCGCAGAGGGAGATGAAATAGACGCGCGTAGTGCAGGTCGCGTGAGGAGCTCGCGACATCGCGCAAACGACAGGCGCCCGTCATCCCGCCTATGTTTTGCGTCACGTAAACGTTAGAAATCCCGCCGTAAGTCGCCCTGATCCCGCCATTGCGCCATTCCCTCATTCACGCGAGTGCACACGTCTATTCAACACTGCTGCTGCGGGGGCGTTTGCGTTCCATTGGTCATTCACAACATCGCGTGTGCATACAAACATCGGGAGAGACAGAAACACGAGCCATGACGAATCCGACCAGTCGAGACGAGCGAGCGTACGAGCGCAGCCACAGCCCAGCCATTGCGACGCAAGATATATAACACGACAACGGACGAGAGGGGTTCGGTCGCGACGCACAAAACAGGCCGCCCACCGCTGCGCGCACCGTTGGAGACAGTGCGGCGCAGCGACGACGCACGCCATCGAGAGCAACACGCTCGCGCGGACGCGGACATACACACGAGCGGAATCGGGGAAATGGGTAGGAGAGTAAACGCGCTACTACAAGTCCCTTCGCACCGGGCTCGGGGCTTGCGCTCCGGCCGGGCTCGCGCGAACGCTCGCTCGTCAGTCCAGGGTGATCCGTAGCTGGTCCAATGGTATCGGCACAAACGTGGCCAGGTTCACCCCCAGCTCTGCTTCGCAGTGCGCGGGCACCAGCTGCCGGTTGAGGTCCGGCCGTACCGACAGCTCTGCATGTATCCGTCAGCATCTGCATGCACAGTCCACACCAAACGCGCGGCACGTACCCTCCCGAGTAAAGTTGAACAGCGGCGGGAACTCCTTCCCGTTCGGCATCTTCGCGCCCTCCTGCCTGAGCTCGTCGAAAAAGGGGTGGCACATGGCCTCAACCGCGCTCAGTCGCGACTCGGGCGTGTACTCGAGCAGCTTGGAGACGAGATCAATGGCCTCGGGCGCCGTGCGTGGCCGGAACACCTGAGAGATCCTCTCAGCGGGGGTCCTGGTCCCTGGGGAGCCGGCTGGGCCTACCTTGGAGAAGGGGTGCGGCTTGATCTGCGGGAACTTGTGCTCCATGTAGTTCGGGTTCATCGTCTTGATCTGCTCCCGTGAGGGCGTCCCGAGCACCTTGATGATCTCGACGAGCTGATCGATGCCACTCTCGCCCGGGAAGAGGGGCTGGCCGAGCATGAGCTCTGCCATCACACAACCGGTCGACCAAATGTCTTGAAAAAAGAGTCAATATGCGCGCCGCTCAAGCCTACAAGACCAGCACTGACCGATGTTGGTGGTGTAGTTCGTGGCTCCAAAGATGAGCTCCGGGGCGCGGTAGTAGCGCGAGCAGATGTAGCTGACGTTGGGCTCTCCGGCGACGAGGATCTTGGCGGAACCAAAGTCACAGAGCTTGAGGACGCCGGTGGCGGGGTTGAGAAGGAGGTTCTGGGGCTTGATGTCACGGTGGCAGATGCCGATGGAGTGGATGTACAGAAGGGAGCGGAGGAGCTGGTACATATACAACTTGATTTGGAGCATGGGCATGGGCTGCTTGAGCTTGACGTAGTGGCGACTGGCGCGGTAGACGGTCTCGGGGACGTATTCGAGCACAAGGTTGAGGTACACTTCGTCTTTCTTTGGGTTCGAGGGCTGAGCGTCAGTCGCGGGCATGCCATGGGGGGATGCTGTGCGGTGTGGGCGAGGGAGGAGGACCGGAAAGGGCTTACCTTGTCGCCATTGGAGTAGAAAAAGGCCTTGAGATCGACGACATTGGGATGTGAGACGAGTCTCATGATCTGCAGCTCACGGTTCTGCGTGGCAAAGGTTAATCGCGTGGGGCGGGGGCGGCGCGGGGCGCACGGACCTTGAACCGCTTGTCCTGCAGGACCTTCTTGATGGCAATGTCAAAGGTGGGGACGTTGTTCTCAAGGAGTTTTGCCTGGAAGACGATGCCGAAGGAGCCATTTCCGATGACTTTGCAGTTGGTGTAGACGAGGTCGCGGGTGTCGCCGGACTTGCCGTCG